GAACACAACCACAAAAAATTACACGTCTATCTGCTAGAGGTACCAGAGGTGAAGTGGGGAATGTGCGCGGCAGGGAAGCGACGCGTGGAGGATGCGCCGCACCACAGGCCGCGTTTTAAAAACCAGTATAAACTGGTTTAAGCCATGCGCGGGACGCGCTGCGCCTCAAGCCGTATCCCAATGTACACTATATGTGTGCACTCACACAAATGCAAAGCTCAGCTTACGCCGCGAGGACGGTATGTGTGTTTAATGAAAATAAAGTTATTTTTGTCAAAAAGAGAAATTATAATGAAAAATACGCGCGAAATAGGAGGATTTTGCACACAGCCCACTCTACGGTATAGCTAGAAAAGCATACATATGCATACAAAGCATACATATTATGGTGCTGTACGACCTGAACTCACAGTACTTCCCGATTCTGATTACTGTTGGCCTAAAGACGGTAACTACGCTGCCCAGACCATTCCAGACACGTGTCGACTGGAGGCTCTACTGTCAACACCTGCAGGAGAGACCTCCAGTCCACCATCTAATAAGCACAGCGGACGAAGTAGAGGCTGCTGCAACCAGATTAACCAAGAACATCCAGGAGGCCCTCCACGCAGCCTCTACGATCGTCCCGATCACAGCAAGGCGAGACGATCTGCCGTGAGAGATATGCGTGCAGATCAGGCGCAAGAGAGCGTTGAGGAAGCTCTGGGCACTCTCTGCCCCAGATTAAAAACACAACTCAACACCTTATCGGAGGAACTGTCGGTTGCAGTCCAGGCCTACAGAGGAAAGGCCTGGAAGCGGCGCATATGGAAAGCTGAAGAGCATGACGTGTCGCTCTATAAACTGAACCGACACTTGATCAAAGCCAGACCTCCCATTTGCCCGCTGACCAACAGCACGGGTGAACGATGCTATGATGCCAAGGGCAGAGCGAATATCCTAGTTGAGCACTTCGAGGAGCAATTTATGCCGAACCCAGCAAGTGCGGAGTCCATGGAGCTTCATGCCCGGAAGGAGTGTCGCGTACAGGGGTTCCTATCATCGCCCGCCCCACCGCTTGCGGGAGAGTGGTTCATCTCCCCCGCTGAACTGCGGAGGACAGTAACCCGCCTGCAACCGAGGAAGGCGCCGGGGCAAGATGGGATTACCAACGCTGCACTCCGACAGCTGCCCAATAGAGTCCTGGTAGAGCTTGGTCGACTCTACAATGGGATACTGCGGACATCCCACTTCCCGGAGGACTGGAAAAAAGGCAGGGTCATCGTCTTGCCGAAACCCGGGAAGGACAGGCGTAGAGCTGCCAGCTACAGGCCGATCAAGCTATTACCGCACATAGCTAAACCGTTAGAAAGATTGCTGCTGAGACGTCTTCGTCCATGCATCCAACTTCAGGCGGAGCAGCATGGATTCAGGAGGGGTCACTCTACAGTCACACAGTTGACTAGAGTGCTGCACCTGCTTGCGGCAGAATACAACCGTGGCCGCATATCATTGGGCGTCTTTCTCGGCATTGAGAAGGCGTTAGACAGGGTGTGGCACTCAGGATTGCTTTACAAACTGCATGAACAGACCAGTGTCCCTCTTGCTATGTTGCGGCTAGTGGCGTCTTTCCTGGAAGATAGGAAGTTCTACGTCTGCGTAGTAGGCCGAGTCCGCAAGAAGATCCATCAGAGCCGGCGTTCCACAGGGCAGCTGTTTGTCTCCAGTCCTGTACGCGGCTTACACTAACGACATCCTAACACTGGCAGGTAGGCTGCAAGATTGGGAGGACGACGTAGAGCTGGCGCTATATGAGGACGATAGCGCCTATTTCACCTCGTCCAGAAGAGCCCATATAGTCACTGCCAGAATGCAGCGTCTGCTTGACCTGTTGCCACCATGGCTGGACGAGTGAAGGATGGTCGTCAACGTTGGTAAAACGACCGCTCTGCTCACCCGCCGTCTCAGAATCTACCACCTCCGCTGATCCTCAATGGCCAAAAGATCGCGTACGAGAAGGCCGTGACCTATCTTGGGTGCCGGATTGACAGCACGCTGCGCATGACCGCGCACGTCGACCTCGTCATCCGTAGAGCCAATTGTGCGCGGGCGATGCTCTTGCCAGTCCTGGCATCCAAGTTACAAACCAAGATGAAGCTTAAATTGTACATCCGTACCATTATTACCTACGCTGCTCCGGTCTGGTACGCGTTTCTGAGCGACCCTTTGAGGCGGCGACTGCAGGCCCAGCAGAACCTGACATTAAGGACGATCGTCGGAGCAGGTCGCTACGTCCGGAACGAGTCATAGCGGCCGATCTGAAAGTCGAGACCATCACAGACTTCGTGGCCTGGCTGGCGCGCGACATGTTCGACCGCGCCGACAACGGGCCACACGAACACCTCAACGGTTTCGCGCCGTTGCACACACGGCCCCCGGACGGGCGACCTTATCCAAGAGAACTCCTCTCTATATCGATTAGAGAGTCGAGTAACAACCCACAATGCCGCTGATAGGCCAACCCCGACTTTTTACCTGACAACCTCCTTTTTTCCGTAGTTAACCGCCTACGGAAATTTTTTTCTCTAACTGCGGATTTCTCGCCGTAATTAACCATGCCTAGAAAAGGCTCCCAGGACTGGCCGATAGTCGTGGGCCATGAGGAAGATCCGGGCAATGGGGGCATACCCCGAGGCTCAGGACCTGCATGGCATACACATGTCATGTAGACGACAACTCACATATTATGGCGAATCGTTCGCAATTTGTTCGACATCTCTTACGGTAAAGTTCGGCATCTCTGACACTTAAGTTCGACATCTCCGACATTTAAGTTCGATATTTCTACAGCAAGATTCAAAAACTTCGCCAGTTATCACATTTGTCAAGAATTTCAAGAAAATCGATGTTTTATTCCCAGTTTTGACCCTAAAAATTAGGGAAAATGAAGTAAATATACAGTCCACATATTTGATGTCTAGACCGGGGCCAAGCGTGGACCCGTAATCTCAGGCATCAACCACCTTTTAAGATTAGGCGTGTGTGTTTCTGAAGTAGGCGTTTTCGAAGGGTCCGCCCAATGCGTTGTTTCGAACCCAAAGCTCTGTGGCTTAGATCGACGAGTGAGGAACTGGAAGACTCGCCGGATTGCTACAGTGACAGCCAGCGTTAGGGGTTTTGGCTAGTGGTCCTTCGGAGTGATGTTTCATCGTTTCAGAAATGCCCACGATCCTCTTTAACAATAATGATTCAATTTTATGTTTATTCAAAATTAAGTTACGATATATAGGAACTAACAACAAATCACTGAACCCTCAATCTTGTACATCGCAATCTGACATGAAAAGTAGTTTATCGAATAATTACTGTTTTTAAACATCTGTCATCAAACATGGAAAAAAATGTATGATTGTTTTCTTCTATGAATTACCTGAAAAATTTTAATAGATTAGCACATTATAAGACTAAATAAATAATGCTAATTCGTTCTTATAGATTCTTATAAGCTGCATTATTTTCTATTTAATATTCTATTTAATAAATGATTAACTTTATCTGCAACTGCTGTTTTAAACTGTACGCGAATGGAAAATCTGTATTTCGATCAACCCCATACAATCTGATCGTCTTCTGATTCGGATTATCGTATATATTATTTAACTGATAAATTCTTTACCAAAACAATAAGTCGGAAATGCCGATACTTTATTTTGCTATTCCTTCCATTTTTCTGATCAAAATCCTCAAATCCTCAATAGAACCTCATTCACTTTATCGGCAAATTCTAGTATCGCAATTCTGGATCATAATTAATTAGTAATAATGATACAATCCGATTTTTCGTTCATGTACTAGATAAAATCCAATGAATCCATTATTATTATTTTTCAATGTGTAAGTATCCGGAATTACTGTTTCAAAAACACAATAGTTTATCATAACTTCCAATCAAACGTCGTATTTTATAAGGATCTATCAGACCTTTTCCACAGGCTATTTATTTTCGTAAGAACACACCCAGTTGATAATAATTTTATCAGTTTGTTTAATAATACTTAATTCCGTTTTTTAAGTTAGAAGTATTACCGTGAAACTTCATAACTTAAAACTAAAAATTCATTTTACTGAATTTTGGTCAACTTTCCTAAAATATTTCTACACATTACTTTGTCCTCCACCAATAGGGTGGCTTTCTGAAAAAGCAAAACAAGCAGAGCGCTGGAATCAGCAGTTAAAACAATAAAATTTACTTTTACAAACTTTTGTTTCGTTGTTCGTTTTAACGACGAATTTAACACCAATCAGTCAATATTGCCATTAAATGATAGCAATTATTGACAAACTTAACAAAAATAGTGTTCTACTCTGATTATTTATGACTGTTATTAGGTAGACTTTACTTAAACAACATAAATACACAAATGAAACACATTTAAATCCAAATATTTTGCGTTATGTTATGATTTGATTATTTATAATATTCATTCATCAAAATTGCGACATATTACTATAAAAATAATATAGTATAAAAATATAAAAAAAATATTATAGTAAATGTTTAAAATGTATTTACCTGGTCACACATGCATTATTCCAACTATAATAGGGTTTTCCTCCAAAATCCTCACTCCATCGAGAGGGACGACGTTATACATCGGAAAAAGAAGTACTGTCTACTGACTTTTATCTGACAGTTTAATGAAGGACAAAAATACTGAGTAAAGTAAGTAGAAAGTGTCGATACTTCGTAAAATACTCTAAAAATATCGAGTACAAAAATACTAGGTATCGGACTAAAAGTATCGATACTACTTATGTATCGATACTTTTTGCGGATCCTAGCCTAGCTATATTAATCTATGGTAGCCTTGTGCAATGTGCACTATGCTTATTGTTTCTGCTTTCTGCTTAGCTTTGTTTGTTGTTATAACAATTTTATTAAAAATTGAGAAAAAGTTATGATGAAATTGTAAGTTATGTTAACAATTAATACATTTTAAATTTAATTCAAAAATAACAAAATGCCCTACTATTGTACTGTGCCCCGTTGTACATCTATGGCCGGCAAAGCAAAAAATGTATCTTTTCATCAGTTCCCAAAAGATAAAGAACTTGCCAAGGTTTGGAATGAAGTACTGAAAAGGGGAAAGCCTTATACAAAATATTCAAAAGTTTGCAGCCTACATTTTAAACCAGAGGATTACACTATTACAGATTTAAAAAGAAACAAAGGTAAGAAAGAATTTATATGATTGAAACATATTGTATTTTTATTTAGAGTTGAATTTGCATCTAACTTCAACACAAAAAAAATAAATAAACCCAAATATATCCTAAATAAGTACTAAGAACTTCTTTTAAAATACGAGTATGAATATTAGTATATGTGAGACACAATGTAGCTACATTGTTGTTGCAGCATGAATGAACCTGCTTGGCCAGGGAAGGGCCATACTTTCATAGAATATAATCGTAAAATAACAGCTTAATGCTGCTGTGTTGAGAACCAGAGACCCTTTTTTAGTCTTCAAGGGTCACAATGCATCTGCATTTTCAATTCTTAATCAGGGATAAATGTCTGGGCCGCATCACTCATATACCATCAGGTGCTTGTGGTCTTGTTTATCAGTATTATTCAATAAAAAAAGTTAATTTACTTAATAAATTATTATATAAATTATAGGCCATTGGAGAACTCTACGCAAAGATGCAATACCATCTCAAAATCTACCCTCCGTTACACCTGTATCATCATGCCAAAAAAATAAAAATACAGAATCTTGGATTCCTTCCAGCATGATGGATTCCCAGGCAAGTACATAAATCATCAATAAATTTTAAATAGATATTTTTTCATTACTCTTTTTCAAACTTAACGTTACCATAACTTGTATAAACAATATTTTTGTTTCTGTGACTGCCTCATTGGTTTAGTAGTAGTAAAGGTGAGTCCATAAGATCTTGGGTTTGAATCCCGAGATTCATATTATAAGTTATTGATTTCTTCCGCTAAGAAACTCTCAGTAGCTGCCCTGAGTCAGGGAGTTGTTGAGTGTGCACACCAAATTCTTACAGGTGTTTTACAATTATGAAATAAGAATTTTTAGCACCTGGCATCTAGTAAAAATCAATATTCTTATAAACAAGTGGCAAAATTAAAATATATATATATATATATATATATATATATATATATATATATATATATATATATATATATATATATATATATATATATATATATAATCGGAATTTCGGAAACGGCTCCAATAATTTTCATAAAATTTAGTGTCCAGGGAGTTTTGGGGGCAATAAATCGATCTAGCTAGCATTTGTTTTTAGAAAATGTCTTTTTGTTCGTGTTTTCAGGCAATGAAAAACTGCTACAATATAAGAAGGAAAATTTTTACACTTTGTTAATAATCGTAATAGCTCAAGTGGGTATCGAGCGGTCGTGAAATCGTAATGCCTTGGTTTGTGTCCCGTCTTGGGTCCGACTTTTTTCCTTTTTTTTTTTCAAGTTCCCTTCTTTTGTGAGAAAATCTATTATTTCGAGCCCTTTTTTAGTATTTTAAAAATACGAAAATTTTAATTAAACTAATTGCACTCATGATTTTTTATTCAAATAACCAGTTCAGTTTTTTTCTATTATGTCAATAAGATCAAAAAATATTATTCATGTAATTTGTATCTAAATGTCATTTAAAAAAAACTGAGCAATGCTCGGTCATCCGGGTACTATAAATAAAATGATCAATGTAGTAAAAATCAATAAAATTGTGAATTAAATACGCATTATTAAGAATAACTTAAAAATATCTGGTCAGATCTTGTTCAAATTTATAATGGCAAATGAGAAGCACCAGCTTACAAATAAAAAAGAATCATCAAAATACACATAAAAAAGATATAGTTGTATTGAGAACCTCCTCCTTTTTTGAAGTCGGTTGAAAATTAACAATAATGAAAGCATGCTATAAAATTTGACTTCTAATATTAGGTCTACAGATATTATGCACACCTGTATGCATTACTACTGTACTACTATATAAGCTTTAAAACTCATTGATGTCGCAGCAAAAATGGTGTTGTTTAGAAGTATAATATATCAGATTGTGAATTCTAAAATGTTGTATTTGATTTTTTGTTTGATTTACTCCTTCCAGTTACACCAAGTGGCTCAGGTTATTTATACACAAACAATGCTAGCTTTACAAGCTTCTGGGTCTGCAGATCTTAGTATGAATGCTGAATATAATGGTAAGTGCATCATATTAAAGCATTCCGTAAATATAAGAATTATTTGAAAACATTCAAATTACTTGTATTATGGTATTATGAACTCATGCTTTTCCTCTTGAGAATTTTTTTTGCCAACTTTTCCACTAAATGTAAACCTCAGCTGCTCAAGAGGCACTCCGTTCATTCACAGACGAGACTCTGATGTCCCACAGATGGCAGAGAGTCCATTACAATTGTGCACCATGCCATTTTGCTAAATTTTATTACCAATTAAGTAGTCTTGGCTCTGCATTCACTAAATCTCCTGCCCACTTGCCCAGCAATGTGCTCATGGGAAATAATTTTAAGGATTGCATGTTTAATGGCTCAATTTTTAAAAGTGCAATCTTTTAAAGGTATAAGATGTCATGCTCCCAAAATTAATTATTTCATATATAAGTAACAGAACATGCAAAAATTTGTCTTTAATAATATGAGTTCTTTCAGGTCAATAGTGCAAATGGGCATGCCTTAGGGCTCAATTCTCGGCCCCTTTCTGTTTCTTGTATATATTAATGACTTACTTTACATAAGGGATAACCATGATATAGTATTATTTGCTGATGATACTTCATTAATTTAACAGAATATAATTAAATAAAAACATTATCATCACATCATAAATGCTATATCTAAATTAGTAAATTGGTTTAATGTTAATAATTTGCATTTAAATGGCACTAAAAGTAAATGTATGAAATTCTTAAATCCAAATGTCAAACATCTAAATACCAATATAATTTTATATGGGGAGGAAATGATTCTTGTCGATACCACCATTTTTCTGGGAATCACACTAGACACGAAGCTTCAATGGGCTCCTATATACCCTCAGCGGCACGGAATCTTGGCCAAGCGCTTATCTCGCGATAGTAAAAGCTTTTAAGTGTTTCTGAAGAATGTTTGTTATGCAGGTATGTCAAAAAATGTTTACCCTCAAGTTCAAGATGGTAATTCATTATGTTTAAGTGCACCATGACAAATTCTTAAATTATTTGTTGAACCAGGTTATTCAATTATTGTGATCTTGTGTCTTAATTCAATAACTAAAGGTGCTTTAAAACCAATAACTACAACAATAAAAACAACAATGGCCAGGGGCTGACACAGCATGAAGTTACCATTGTGCTTAATGTACCACGGTGCTCGATGCAGTATGCACTGAAACAATATCAGGAGACGGGCCGCTACACCCGCAGGACAGGCAGTGGAGGCGTAAGGTGTACATCAGCCCAGGACGATCGTTTTATTGTTCTGGAGATTTCGAGAAACCGCTACCTGACTGCTGTTGAGATACGCCAGTGGCTCCAAATCGCAAGAGGCATTAATGTTAGTGAGCGTATGGTGAGAAGACGAATGGAGGACGTGAATTTAAAAGCTCGTAGACCAGCACCAGGTCCACAACTTCTCAAACAGCACTGAGTAGCCTGACTTCAGTTCGCAAGAGAACAAGTCAATTAGCCCATTGCTTCAGTGGCGAAGCTACAGCTCCAAACTAGGGCAAGCCCAAGATATAAACTGATAAAAATATAGATTGTTGTTTTTAGCAGTTTTATAAAAATACACCAATCTTCATCTGTCTCCATGCTTCAGTTTCATATTCAGTGCTGTCAAGGACGTATTTAATAAAGCACACAGAAAGCATACTACTGCTAGATAGATTTTATTTTTATTACATATCAGCAATTGCATAGCTTCGGTGGCTTTGAAGAAGGCCGTTTGAGTTTGTTTAAGCGAAAGAAAAAAATATTTACATCCAATACAATACTTGAACAAAGTACAAACAAACTATGTACAAAATTAAAAAAAAAAAACAAATTATTTACATTCTAATGGATAAGAGATAAGATAAGTGGAATCGTCTTGCTTTCTTAAGGAAAGATTTAATTACGTCTACGTAAAATGTTCGTGAATGTTTTAATTGTACCAATAACTGTTTTTTAATTGCGATAATTGATAACGTCTGAAATACACTCTTGACCTTGTATATTATCTCAACAAAGTTTAAAGATTTTACCTTTTCCTCGCCGATTAGCACTTTAACACACTTCAATTCATCACAAGGAACACTCTTTCCCTCCATTTTCATTAAAAATCTTTAAAAAAACATAAATTTTAAACTCGCAATACATTCGCTTAAGCTCAACACACAATGCACAAAGTACTTTTTGACACAATGTAAACACTAAACATTGAAATGTGACGTGAACTTGCTAACATATCGTCGGCGTCGGCCGCTTCCTCCTCTCTCGACTAACTTCATACCTAACGTGACCATACGTCCCACTTTAGGCGGGACGTTCCCGCTTTGACAAACAAAAGCGTGACAATCATGCAAACCCTGTCACCCGTGCCATGTAGTGTTATGCTTACATACATACTTACATATCATTTTACACTATTTTATTTTTATTTTTCCATTCTGTTTTTGATTTTCTACATTCACCTCAAAACTGGATATTTTGCATCACCTTTATTTCCATAGGATCCTGTAATATTTTTAATTCATAAGAACACAATAACAAATCATTTTCACTTCGTATTTTCACGTTATCAGCACTTTTTAAATCGGTGTCAATGGAGTCTACCTTTTTCGATCTTTTATTTAGTTCTCCGTAACTCTACAATTTCGGGTTTCGTGCGCGCTCTTGCGCTACCTTTTTTCCTATATAAATAATATCTCATTTTTCACTTAAATCTTGCCGTTTCTGTATTACGAGCTTAAAACCAAAATTTGACATGTTTTGACATCGTTGTTTATCTGGTTGTCGTGGCAATTTTTATTCAAATATTGTTACCGGCCTGATGTTTTTACTTCAAAAATACTCTTTTCTTCTTGGCCATTTACAAAAATTTGCTTTTAATTTAAATAATTTCAAATAATTTCTCGTTCTTATCCCAGATCCGTCAAAAAGTATAAAAGCCGAAGAATCGGCCGATAGAGGTCCTCACTTCAGCTTTGATACGAGAAGCACCTCTGAAAGGCTTTATCCGCACTGCCTCGGGATCTTGCAAGCCTTCTCCTGAAGTCGTCGCCTAGCCACGCCTACGCCTCCACCTATTAGTGCCCGCGCTATCTTCGGCCGCTGAGCGTGCTTGTCTCAAGCGCTGCGTGTTCCTACTCCAGACGCTGCGTGTCTACTCCGGACGCTGTGTGTGTCTACTCCGGACGTTGTGTTTGCCTACTTCAAGCGCCACGTGTACCTACTCCAGACGCTGCGTGTCTACTCCGGGTGCTGCGTGTATCTGCTCCGGGCGTTGCGTGTGCCTACTCCAAGCGCTGCGTGTACCTTCTCCAGACGCTGCATGTGCTTTCTCCAGATTCTGCGTGTACCTAGAGCAGGCGCTGTGCACCTATCATAGGCATAGCCTGTGCATACTTCGTTGCAGTATCTTTATTTTTGTTATTTTTTTTTAATAATATTGTAAATCACTATCATCATTACAGCCCATCATCACCTTCATACCTTTTTTTATAAAAGAAACTGTAAATCTTTTCAAATTTTTAAATAATTTATTTTATTTTTGGTTGTTTTGTTGTAGTTAGGTTAGGTTATTTAGTTTTTAATTGTCGCTTCACGACAATTTGGCGCCCAACGTAAAAGTTCTTCTTTTCTTCACCTTAGCTACGCCTTATCCATTTCCTTTTGATTGAATTGCTTTCTCTTTCGTTCTTAACTCTTTATTTACTCATCCTTATCATATCTTCCAAATTCCAAAACAAAACTTCATCTAGTTTTTCAACTTATCTGGATTATATTTAGACCTACATATAACACTTACATTCATCACCTTAATATTTTTATTCTAGAGAACTTAAAGAGGTACTATCTTCCAAATTCTAAAACAAAACTTCATCTAGTTTTTCAACTTATCTGGATTATATTTAGACCTACATATAACACTTACATTCATCACCTTAATATTTTTATTCTAGAGAACTTAAAGAGGTACTATCTTCCAAATTCTAAAACAAAACTTCATCTAGTTTTTCAACTTACCTGGATTATATTTAGACTTACATATAACACTTCACTTCATTCATCACTTTTATATTTTTATTCTAGATAACTTAAAGAGGTACAATTTTTAATTACATTTTTATTTCTTAAACTTAACTTTGCACTTAATTATAACAATGAAAAGGGTTATTAAGTACGAATTCCTTAAAATACGAAGTGAAGATTAGATGTGAGGAACCAGCTAATACTGTTTTGCATGACACTACATTTGTATATATGTTTGTATATTTGTATATGTGTTTGTATATTTGTATATGTGTTTGTATATATGTATAATTATTACCTGATTAATTTCTTTATCTTTATCTTCACTCAGGAGCGGATTACAACTCCTTAAATAAGCCTGAATGTACTTTTAGTGATGTTGCTCATCTCTGGCTTTGAGCCCTACCGCTCTGGCCGTTCTTAATCTTTACTTAAGTCATAGCGGCTAAAGCTTGCTTAAGATTAATTTCTTTAACTTTATCTTCACTCAGGAGCGGATGACAACTCCTTAAATAAGCCTGGATGTCCTTTCAAAATGTTTTTTTTTCCACGCAGGAGCGGATGACAACTCCTTAAATAAGCCTGAATGTCCTTTCGAAAACACACTTTTAGAGTGGTAGTCATTGAATGTGAACTCCACCCTTACCTGAATGCAGATGATGAATGTAAGAGATAGTATATCTGATATTGCCTGGTGATGTCTGTTACTGCAAAGCTGTGTTTTTATGGTTTATTTTGGAATGTACATCTCAAAATTTTTGCTGAGTCAAAAATTTTCCAGGGTCGGGGGGAAAATGTAGTGTTATGCTTACATACATACTTACATATCATTTTACACTATTTTATTTTTATTTTTCCATTCTGTTTTTGATTTTCTACATTCACCTCAAAACTGGATATTTTGCATCACCTTTATTTCCATAGGATCCTGTAATATTTTTAATTCATAAGAACACAATAACAAATCATTTTCACTTCGTATTTTCACGTTATCAGCACTTTTTAAATCGGTGTCAATGGAGTCTACCTTTTTCGATCTTTTATTTAGTTCTCCGTAACTCTACAATTTCGGGTTTCGTGCGCGCTCTTGCGCTACCTTTTTTCCTATATAAATAATATCTCATTTTTCACTTAAATCTTGCCGTTTCTGTATTACGAGCTTAAAACCAAAATTTGACATGTTTTGACATCGTTGTTTATCTGGTTGTCGTGGCAATTTTTATTCAAATATTGTTACCGGCCTGATGTTTTTACTTCAAAAATACTCTTTTCTTCTTGGCCATTTACAAAAATTTGCTTTTAATTTAAATAATTTCAAATAATTTCTCGTTCTTATCCCAGATCCGTCAAAAAGTATAAAAGCCGAAGAATCGGCCGATAGAGGTCCTCACTTCAGCTTTGATACGAGAAGCACCTCTGAAAGGCTTTATCCGCACTGCCTCGGGATCTTGCAAGCCTTCTCCTGAAGTCGTCGCCTAGCCACGCCTACGCCTCCACCTATTAGTGCCCGCGCTATCTTCGGCCGCTGAGCGTGCTTGTCTCAAGCGCTGCGTGTTCCTACTCCAGACGCTGCGTGTCTACTCCGGACGCTGTGTGTGTCTACTCCGGACGTTGTGTTTGCCTACTTCAAGCGCCACGTGTACCTACTCCAGACGCTGCGTGTCTACTCCGGGTGCTGCGTGTATCTGCTCCGGGCGTTGCGTGTGCCTACTCCAAGCGCTGCGTGTACCTTCTCCAGACGCTGCATGTGCTTTCTCCAGATTCTGCGTGTACCTAGAGCAGGCGCTGTGCACCTATCATAGGCATAGCCTGTGCATACTTCGTTGCAGTATCTTTATTTTTGTTATTTTTTTTTAATAATATTGTAAATCACTATCATCATTACAGCCCATCATCACCTTCATACCTTTTTTATAAAAGAAACTGTAAATCTTTTCAAATTTTTAAATAATTTATTTTATTTTTGGTTGTTTTGTTGTAGTTAGGTTAGGTTATTTAGTTTTTAATTGTCGCTTCACGACAGCCATCATTATGACACCGCGCGTAGCAGGTTTGCATAGCTTGTCTATTTACGTGATTATTCTGAAAAGCTACGCTTTTGGGCTTGTATAGAGGCTTCGCCACTGCATTTCTTGTGAGTCTATCACGAGCAATGGGCTTGAGTTTTGTTCACAGATGAGTGTCGAATAGCTTTACGTGCTCCAGATGGTCGAGAATGAGTGTGGAGAAAAGAGGAGAGAGGTTTCTACCCATTACCACAAGGCAATCTATGATTTTACATGGAGGCTCAATAATGGTGTGGGGAGGTGTAAGTTCCGACGCATGTACAGAGTTGGTCATCGTCGATAATCAGCTTACAGCTACTAGATAGGAAGTTCTTCAGGATCGTGTAATGCCTTATTCGGGGTTCATTGGACACGACCAATTCCTTCTCATGCACGATAATGCATGCCCAGACGTCGCACACTGTGTAGGGGAATATCTGGAAGAGGTTGGAATACAACAATTACAGCTTAGCCCGGACATAAATTCAATTGAGCATGCTCAAAAGAAACCTTATAGTTTGCACAAATACTTTTAGTCATACGCTTTAGTTTTACGCAACATATGCAGATCCACAATAGTTCGAATTGAATAACTCGTCTGAAGTTAAATGATTGTCTTTTAGAGCAGCACTCAAAATAAGAAGCCCACCAGCGCCTTTATTTCTAAAATATTTGTATCACTTTGTGTTGAGGTCACAGTCTGATACATGGATTTTTACAAAGCTATTTCGACGTTCGTCCATTTGACGATCTCCTCGTAAATTTCATTTGTGAAAAACATATCAAAGCAAGATATTTCACTCGTTAATCCTCTACATGAACGGCTAGGTCACCTTGAAGTTTGCACGATGTCCCTCACCGAGGTTCTAGTTGAAGCGTTCCCTTTACTTGTAGATCAGACATACCGGTTTTTACCGCATATGTTCCCTTGAGGCAGTTGTATGATTCTGCTTTGTGAGGTTTCTGAAGGGGCAGCATCTGAGTTACTTGACATAACTCGATCTACGGTTAACGATATATCATTGTGTGGACTTACATGTCTTTCTTTGGAATCCGAAGATTCATAATTTTCATCACTTTGGACATCATCTTCCACCACAAAATCTTCGGTCTCACTGGCAGAACCATCATCCATGACATCGTCACTAAGCTCTTGGTTTAGCAGATTTATTATGCTATCTTCATTTAGCGACGACATGGTAAAAATCTAAAAAGAAAGACAACTTACGTCAAAAATATATACGCACAATGAAATAAAAAAGTGAACACTAAAGCTAACCACCCATCGAAACGACGGGCAAAAGTTACGTATCTTAAAAAATATGGCACTTACCTGTTCGATGCGTGTGCCACTACAACGGCCTTACGGGCGACTGGGTTGACTTAAAGAGCCAAGACGTTCGGACGCGTCGTTAAAAAGAAACAGCGATATTACTTCTCACTGCCCGTCGATTCGACGGATGTTAGCTATCTAGGGTTAATTTTTAACTTTGTAGTGTTTTAAAATGACAATGGAAAGATGTTAATTTTAGTGAAAACATGTTATCTTGAAAAGAAAAATTTTGGTGAAGTAAACATTAAATTTCTACCTTCTAAAACCAATGGAGACACTTATTGAATCCATCTCCCTTATTTTACTGTTAAAAAAAATTACAGTGCAAATAATCGGCAAATTCACGAGTGGCCAAGTTTCCGTGCCGGTGAGTGTATAAAAACTAGCAAGCAGACCTAGTTCAGCAGCATATGCTGTAAAAAAGATTAAAAATCTTACCAGTGTTGAAACAGCGAGACTGGTTTACTTTAGCTATTTCGATAGCATAATGTATGATATAGTGTTATGGAGAAACGCAACTGGCAATGAAATCATATTTGTTTTACAGAAGAGGGACATAATAGCAGATTATGCTTAAAATGCTAAAGTGTCACTCAGACTTAAATTTAGGGAAATTAATAATTAACTATGGTCTCTCAATACATTTATAAAAATGTAATGTACATTCACAAAAATAAAAGTATAATTTAGTAGAATAAGTTATATTAATTCTGTAAATACTAGGAACAGAAACAAGTTAGTGGTACCAGTTACTCGACTCCACCGAGTCAGTAATTCATTCTTAGTATTATGCATACACTTTTACAAAAAAATCCCAGAAAATATACAAAATTTGACCTGCTCAAAGTTCAAAAACTTTATTAAACCAATTTTGTATGAAAAGGGTAATTAAAATAAGGAAGTTACGGATACTAATAGCTCATGGGAATTAGGTGATTGCTACCAAGCTATTTCTAATTTGTTTCGTATTGTAATTATGTAACATAAATAATTATTTATTGTATGCTGTTATTTATTTAAAAAAAAGTCCTGCTGGGTTTCTTTTTCTGCTGATTTTTCCCAGGACAGGTTTTTTCCAAACCAGTGGTAAATAAAACAAGAGTGACTTTTAAAAAGTATTATTTATAATCTATGTTGAATAAAATAGTTTCTGTCTGTTTGTGCTTACAAGTTCAGGTTCATTACAAGATATATGTTCATATAATGAAAACTGATAAGTTCTTGTCAAATCTCAATTCCATTATTAAATATTGTTACTTAAAGATAGTAAATTTATCATATTTTCAGAACAACAGACATCACCAAACAGAGAGGATTCAGCATCTTGTTCAAGCATCAGCTCAGGCCAGTTCAATGACACAATATCGCAAATTGAGCAGTTGCTGCATAAAAATAACCTCAATAATGAATCGAGTTCAGATTCAATGAGTAAATTTAATAATAATGATAGTGTAAATATGTTTTCTAGTGACAACTACGTCAAATCCAGGGCACAAGAGTTAGGCTTAAAACAAACATATAAATGTTCAGAATGCTCTAAATGTTTCAAAGACCCAGATGTATTCGTTCTGCACAATCGCTCACATATGCCAAAGAAATCTAGCACAGAAATGGTCTTCCAAAAAACATTATCAGAAAATGTATGTAGTGAAAAAGAAAATGTTGATAGTAATTCTAGCAACAATTGTGTTAGTGAAAGTTCTACAGAAGAAACTCTAAGGGCAAATCCAATTTTAGCTAATTTATTAAATTCAAGTATGCCCCAAACTAATTTGCATAAAGGTGAAGAAATGCAGAGGGTACTTGATTATAAAAATGTAACAAGCATAGAGAATCAAATCATGGCTGCCTTAGCATCCAATATGAAAAACTATTTTCGGAATTTAATGTCACAAGCAGTAATACCAGGAAATAAAAATATTTCTAATCATAATGAAAGTAACTCTGTTTGCAAAATGGAAAATCAAGAAGAATTTACTAAGGAAACTCATGATTGTAATAAAGATGTATTGACGGACGAATATGACGCTGAACAGTATATGTCAATGAATAGTCAAGAGAATTTTGATTCTAAATGTGATAATAAAAAGGTAAATGTATCAATGGAATCAACTACATTAGGATTAAGTGAAAATTCTCAAAATTGTGATTTTGCCGTAAAAACGTGATGAATTTCAACAGGTTAGTGCTACCTACATCTTAATTTGTATTTAGTTGTGCTTAAAAAAGCATAAATAATATTTTACCTAACGACTTAACTTACCCGCCTTATTTAATTTTTGTGACTGACTCTAGTGTTAAGTACTCTTGGTTCCATTTCTTTGTGTTTAAGGTGAATTATGTATTCAGTGAATGATGGAAAGTAATTTTAGTCACATTTGAATTATTTAATAATAATACTTTAAGAGTTTTGTTTTTTCCACAAAGTAATCAGCTTAAAAACTAGGAACCTTAAAAAATTACTTAATCCAACTTGTTTGTTTGCAAACTCAAGGATACGTGCAGCTTTGACAGGTATGCTAACGCTAATGCGCTACTGGCCGCGCAAGGCGTGAGACTCCCCGGCGCGGAGAAGCAGGAGGGGCTCGAGTTTCGGGCCAGGTGCCAAGTTAATCCGCCTGGGTTGTACACACTAGCTATTTTGAATTAAAAAGTTCTCTAAATTCTTTGTATTACAAGTCCCACCTGTTATACTTAAGTCATACTTTAGGCTATCTGTTATTTTAAATAATGTGTGTATTCTGTAACTAATTATAGATGTTTTTTGTATTTGTCAATATTATGCTCAATCTATTTTTAGTTATACTTCACTTCTCTTAATATTATTTTTACAACTATAGCTATCATTAGTATTAAAAGTTTATAAATTTTTTTTTTGGAAATTTATTGTATTAAGAATGTGAATGAATGAATTTATTGATATTTTGATGTTTGTTTACTATACCTGGTGGAGCCACGTGTTTAAGGCTGCCGAAAATCTAGTTCCCCGGTCAAACCTCAAACCTATTACGCGAGATATTAACTAAAGTGGACTGTATATGCGATTGCTTCTACGCTTACGTTAAAAGCGACTACTATAGCATGCGGTACAATGCACTCGCTCTTCCCTAAACTAAACTATTACTTGTCGAATCGATGAAAGGAATCCTGCTTGACTAGGAAAAAAACACAGATTGGAGCGGGTTAAATTATTAGCAAGCAGGTATAATTAAGGAGTATTGACTCACCGGGGTTTCTTCTTCCTGTCGATCACTATAGCGGCGACTTTCGGAACCTCCTCTGGACAGACACTTCTGGGGCCCCAGTGGTGCGTCAGGAGAGAAGCGTTGGTTCAACGACGACTGCGGCGGGAGAAGAGAGCGCGCGTCGGTCGCGCGTGTCTTATATATCCTCGGGTCCGATGATTACGCGATGTTCTAGAATCGTCTTCTTTCCCCTCCCACCCCACCACCTCGATGTGTCGATAGGAGGGTACGAATGATATTGTTTCGGAAGGGAATAATGATTCGACAAGTTCCTACCGTCAAAAATAAAAAAACGCGAATCGTTTTCCGCGCAACCATCTCCCCCGCCCTTGAAGGATTTCCTTCAAAAAAAATAACTAAACAACTAGAGCTAAGATCGACTAACAAATAACTAACTAACGCTAAGATTACCTAAATTAAACTACAATTTCAGTCTAAAAAGCTAATTTAAATTATGGAAGAGGCAAGGGGCACAAACGGATAACCGGACGTAGGTAAGACCCAACCGTGGTCTTAACGCGAGCTATCCTAATTACTCCGTCGGAACCGGGAAAGACCTCCTCGACGATTCCTAACGGCCAGTGGAGAGGCGGCGTATTCTCCTTAGTGAGCACAACTACGGTTCCTACAGCTAAAGGCTCTGTCGCTGTGTTCCATTTTTGCCGAGACTGCAAAGTATGCAAGTATTCCATCCTCCATCGTTTCCAAAACGATTGCACTAACCGATCTAATAATTTGTGGCGTGTGGAAATGTTAAGTCTGTTCTCATCCATATCCGCGGCGGGCAGATACCTTAGAGGCGTTAAAGTCAAAAAATGTGCTGGAGTTAGAGCCAGCGGTTCCGAGGGGGTCACTAGATAACGTCCGACAAAGTGGGCGGCTATTCATTACGCATTCAATTTGAGCGAGCACCGTACTTAGCTCTTCGAAGGACAAAATTTGATCTCCTATTACTCGGTATAAGTGGCTCTTTAGACTTTTAATATTAGTCTCCCAATTGCCCCCAAAATGACTCGCGGCTGGGACGTTCAGAGACCACTCAATGCGGTTTTCGGCTAGAATGTGAGCGAACTCCGAATTATAATACTTGCTAGCTAAGAGCTCGTGTAGTTCCGATAGAATACGTTTTGCACCGACGTAGTTCGTACCGTTATCCGAATATAATTTACTTACAGGGCCTCTGCGCGATAGAAATCTTTTAAATGCACCCATAAAGCCTGCTGTGCTTAGATCACCAACGAGTTCTATATGCGCTGCTCGAGTAGTTAGACATACGAAAATGCAGACGTAAGCCTTTGTGGATCTTATACCACGCCCGCGAGTGAGCGTGACCTTAAACGGACCAGCAAAATCAGACCCGGTGTGCGTGAAGGGCTTTACCGATTGTATCACTCTACAAGATCTAAGTTCCGCCATTTCCGGAAATGACGGCTTGGGGCGTGCCCGAAAGCAAGCTATACATCTGTGCACCCGATTGCGTATTAAACTACGTGCAGAAAGAATCCAATAATTCTGACGCAAGATTGACATCAATAAATCGGGGCCAGCGTGCGAGTTCAATTTATGATGATAATCGACTAATAAGTTCATGATATGGTCTTTACGCGGTAAAACTATAGGGTGCCGTTGGTCGAAACTCAATTGCGAGTTGGACAAGCGTCCACCTACCCTTACAATCCCATCCTGTAAAAATGGCTTAAGGCGTTGAAAGGCGCGACTACAAGCTCTATTCGATTGTAATCTTGTAATTTCTTCAGAGAAGTGCGCACGTTGAAGTTCACGTAATACTAGCGACTCGGCATAGTTGTAATCGGATGCTAAGACATACGGACGTCGCGGTAAAAGCTTCGCGAATCGACAAACGTAAATTACGCTACGCAATAATTTCGACCAAGAGGACAAGCGGTTCGCCAGAGCAATGATTGGAGAAACCTCGCTCGAAACGTTCGCCACTAGAGCGTGTCTCTTCTCTTCCGGCGGTTGTGACACTGACGAAGGTTCGAAATCGGTTATTGGCCATTGTGAGGGATCCAAGTGAACCCAAGAAGGTCCATGGAACCAAAGCGGGTGGTCCATTATTTGCATCGGGGTGAGTCCCCGGGATAGACAAGCGGCAGGGTTTTCCTTACCGGACACGTGATAAAAGTTCCGCGTTTCTAACTCGTCTTGGATCTTGGCCACTCGGTTCGCGACAAACGTATCCCAACGGTGGGGTGAAGAATGAACCCAACATAAGGCGACGGTGGAGTCGGAAAAGGCAAATATTCTTTCTATGTGAACTCTATCCCTACATGCGCCGATAACTGTGGTAATAAGCTTGGTGAGTACTAATATTGCGCAAAGCTCTAAGCGCGCCAGAGAGACAACCTTACGGGGGGGAGACTCTCGACTTAGAACTAATGAGGCTAATCGAATTTCTACCATTATTCTGGACATGGAAATATACAACGCCCCCGTAAGCCTTCTCGCTGGCGTCTGCAAATCCAACAACCGTTATGCTGCTATTTCTATCGACATTTATATGACGCGGTATTTTAATTTCTCTTAGTAAAGGAAGTTCCTCTCTAAAGCGCTGCCACAATCGAACAATGCTGTCAGGCGGCGAGTCATCCCAATCGCATTCAAATAACCAAAGTTGTTTAATCAAAAGCTTAACGTATAATACCACCGGAGCTACGAAACCCATGACGTCCCATAATCTAGCAACGCATGACAGTATTGTGCGCTTTGTGCATTTCTCTACGGGCGGATTTACCTTAAGGCTAAACACGTCGGACTCTGGTGACCAACACAGACCGAGCACCTTGTGTGTATCGGAATCGTCGAATTCCTTTATCGCCGAAAGACGGTGTGATAGTGGGATTGTATCTAAAACCGGACGCGAATTACTAGTCCACTTCACAAGATCGAATTGACCCGATTTCATGAGCCTTATAACCTCGGCGGTGGTTAGGGTGGCCTCCTCCACGCTATCGACCGAATACACAAAATCATCCATATATAATCCGCTCTCAATTGCCCTCTTAGCTTTAGGATAAGAGGGACCTTCATCGTGAGCGAGCTGTCTCACCGTGCGTAACGCATGAAATGGGCTCGACTTTAAACCAAAACAAACGCGGTTAAATTCTAACACCATTAGAGGTTCCTTTGGGTGGAAACGATATAAAATGCGCTGGAATCTACGGTCGCATTCACGGACCCCTATGCAAAGAAACATTTGGCGAATATCGGCGGATAGTGCTATACTAAACAAACGAAAATTGACTATTATATCAAATAAACTGCCCTGTAAATTTTGCCCACTATAGAGGATATCGTTAAGCGACAGGTGAGTGCTAGTTTTAGCACTAGCGTCGAGCACTACACGTAATTTAGATGTAAGTTTGTCCTCTCTAATGACTCCGTGGTGTGGTATAAAACACGACGGTGTGTCTTCGTAGTTATCTAATTTCGAAGCCACAAGTGATATGTAACCTTCTCTTATATATTCGTTAATGACGCCGTCGTAAGCCTCCTTTAACTGGGGCGAAGCGAGCATCCTACGCTCCAAGCTGTAGAAACGTTTTTCCGCCATTTGACGCGAATCGCCGAGAGATAAAACATCTCCCTTAAAGGGTAGCGCTACACTATATCTACCGTCGCGATCACGAACGGTCGTGCGGACGTAAATTTCCTCGCATATCCTGTCATCTGGACTAGCTATGGGTGGGACGTTCACCTCCTCCATCTCCCAAAATTTGCGGACTAACGACTCGAGCGGTTCGACAGCCATACCACAATAAGAGGCTGCCGAAATACTATCTAGGATGGGGGCGGAGCCAAGGATCACATAGCCCAATACGGTTTCCAGTGCGTAAGGCGCGGTATGCGAGGAGTTGCCCCTGACCTTATTGTTTAACAAAAGATGAGGGAAAAGCGATGCC